CTCGGCATGTCTCTAATTACAAAATCTATGCAAAAACGACAAAACATAGACTACCATAGAGAACTTGTCGCGTACTATCAGCCAATTCAACAACACAGTTGTCAAAATCATATGGTTTTTCTGTTTTCCTTCTCAATATATTAATTCGATAATCTACTTCGGCCTTGGGTCGTTCCAAGCGAATACTTATAGCACGAGATGAGCAACCCTCAGCATACAATTTCTCGAACTGTTTCTCTAGTTCATCATTCCATTCTGGTCTTTACATGAAAAACAAATGTTCTTTTGAAAAAAACTGTTCACAAAAACGACAATCGCGTGGAAGAAATTTCTAAATCTATTTCTGTAAAAACACTTCTAATTCAAAAAAGACCTTTTGAAAAAGACATTTGAACTTTTATACTCCGCAACCAATGCTGCAAATTTACAGAATGGATTTTCATTTAAAAAAGTCACTAGACATTAAATCTCTTTATATTGATGCTTATCTCCAAAAGTATTAACATATGTCTCTCCGATTGTTGAAAAAAAAACCCAACTCAGTAAATGAAAACATAATGACTACCTGCTTTTTTCACCCGGATGGTACACAATTAGCATTCTGCTGATGACCTGTCTCCCTGTGCGATCATTGAATCCTTCACCTGAAAAAGCGAAGACGATTGAAAATGACAACATTAAAAATGAAATGAGTATAATATTAAAGTAGCAGCAGTGCGCACTGTTTTTTCGATGGGAAGAAATTCTTCACCGCTGATCATTATGAAGAAATCACTAACACATTGCCGGGACAAAATTTGTTTTGTTCTGAAACATTAACAAATTAATTCGTTCATCTCGACTCATTTCTTTGCTACAGCCACCCGCAAATTCATAAGCTCGACTGCAGTCAATATTGTTTGCTACTGCATATCTTTCCCAGTTCTAAAAAAAATACAGTCATTTTTCGAAAGCATTCGAAATATGTTAAGAAATTTTTCAAACAAAAGATACAAGATCTTTAACGTGCTAAATATAAACAGACACGGAGAAAAATACTACCCAGTCAAACATGGCTTTTCAAAAAATGTAGCAAAATATCAAGAAAAGAGATCAAACCTTTTTAAGCCGCTTATTTTCCTCACTTGAAAACTGTCCAGTTTTTAATTCGATCCCTAAAAAAATGTTCTTTTGATAGACTATCAGCTAAAGGAAGAAATGCTGCAATGTATATTTGAGATATGAACTGTACAAAACATGAGGATATCAAAGCTACCATTTCTTAGCTTGTAAAAATGTCAGTGAGTAAAATTTGGATAATTTTCATTTTTTTTCTATTCTTTACATTATCAAATAAATTTGGATATCTTGAATTTTTTCTGCTTTTGCATCATCAAATAAAAATGATTGAAAACGAACCACACTGCTTGATTCTTTGCAGATGAATGGATTTTAATGCATATCGTCTTAAGTGATAAAACAGAATGCCCTGTTTTGTCAACACACCTGTCGTTGGCAACAATACCTTTGCACGACGGGAACAACACTCATCATCAGAACCCATTCTCGTAACTATCGGATACTTCCTAAAACCCACAACATAAATCCCTCCTCGTATTACTTTCCTACCGCTTCTTTTTAAATTTGCAGTACAGCTGCTCGTCAGACAATTAATCGGAGATTAAAATAGTACCGTAACTGAGAGATAACAAAGATTAGAAGACCTCATAAGAGAAAATACGTTGTTGAATAACAGAAATCTGAGTGCTGCTGATAATAAAGTGTTTGTTATTCAAGAGGAGAGACAGAGAATAAGAGTATTTTGGAGATACACTACTGAAGTTGGCAAATTCCTCAATTCCCTCCCACTCAATAGCGAACCACTCCATCATCGTTAAATAAATAATATCTGATTGATTTCACTGATGCATTATGAAATGGTTTCTATGAGGAGTTTAGGCTTAATGAGGAAAGGATGGTTCGGATGTGCGTGAATTTGGGTTATTTTCCTGTTATGTACCTCCTCAAGTATATGAGATCTCTCTCTACCACGACACCTCTCTTTCTCAATAAAGTTTCTTTAATGTATTTTCCTTTGCTCTCATTATTTGTTTCATTTTTAAATTGGAAGTGCCTTCAAAATTATTACAATTTCAGGCATATAATACAATGGGATATCCAACTCAGATGCCGAGAGGAGGCGCAATGACTAGTAAGTTTTTATACATTCATGAGCTACGCATGCGAATGATGGTAGACTTATAGTTTGATCTTTCTTTGCAACTATATTTTGTATAGATCATTCTCACAGTATTTTCCAGATGGAGTTGGTTTTCGAGGTTCGCCGAGAGGTGGTGGTGGTGGCTTTCGAGGGTCATCAAGAGGTAGTGGATATCGTGGATCACCCCGAGGAGGAGGTAATAATTTCCTGCTCTTTCTTTTTTGCAACTAAGATCTTGACTGTTTGTATATACATTAGAGCAGGAAGATATTGCAAGTAATAAGATATGTGAAGTTCCAGGTCGAGGTGGTTTTGGTGACAAAAACAGTGTCGGAATGGGAGGTTATGGTGACAGGAGAAGTGGCAGCGGTAGTGGAAGAGGCTTTCGTGGTGGAGGTGGTGACAGTCGCGGAGGGTTCGTTTGTTTTCCTTAAAATTTTGTGATAGCTATATTCATAGTGGTTGATCTCAAGCTATCCAGGAGAGATTAAATGTAACGTTTTTGCTTTCTTGTGATTAATTTTCGGGCTCTTATAATATTAATAACAATAGTTCAGTTTTAAACTGGTTTTAAATGGAGAGGATGCTTAATTATTTACATTTATTTACTTAATTACTCATTTCTTTATTTACAGCGGGAGAGGACGATCACCACGTGGTCGTGGAAGTCCCCGAGGAGGAGGACGAAGCGGAGGAATGCGGGGTGGTAAAAAGGTCATCATCGAGCCACATCGGCATGAAGGTTAGCATTACTTATATTTGTCTTTGCTTTTTCTGTTTCATGCAATAAAAAGTAGCCAACTTTTTAGCTAGAGCGTTCTTATTACGCGAATTCAATCATTTATAAGGCTTTATTGATTTTTCACAATTTATTTATTTTTAATTCATTTTTGTGCTCCTCATCTGAGAAAGTATTATTTCTATTACAGAGATGTGAGATTTGATGTCTGTTTGAGATGAATTTTTTCTTTTTTAAACGCAGGTGTTTTTATCGTGAAAGGCAAAGAGGATGCCTTGGGTACCCGCAATTTAGTTATTGGTGAGTCAGTGTATGGTGAAAAAAGAGTGTCTGTTGAAAATGATGACAAGGAGAAAGTTGAATATCGAATTTGGAATCCATTCCGATCGAAATTAGCAGCTTCAATACTTGGTGGTTTGGATGACATACATATGAAGCCGGGATCAAAACTTCTATATTTGGGTGCCGCATCGGGCACTACCGTATCGCACTGCTCCGATATCGTTGGTCCAGTAAGTTATTGCTGCAGTTCTTTCTGTGCCTCGAATTATTGCTGTCAAATGAAATCAACATCAAGATTTATCAAAATACTTTTTTAGGATGGTTTGGTATACGCTGTGGAATTTTCTCATAGATCCGGTCGTGATCTCCTGAATATAGCAAAAAAAAGGCCAAATATCATTCCCATTGTAGGTGATGCTCGTCATCCTCAAAAATACAGGATGCTTATTGGTATGTGGGTCTTATGTTTTTGTATATTTTAGTTTCTTGAATTTTGTTAACATAATGGTCACATCTTATAGGAGTGGTAGATACAATATTTGCGGATGTAGCCCAGCCTGACCAAGCTAGGATTGTTGCTATAAATGCCCATCATTTTTTGAAGAGTGGCGGTCATGTTGTAATCTCGATTAAGGTTTGATTACTGTTCCTTTTTTGCATTTATTAATTTTCTATTCACTTATTTAAACCGTGCGTTTCCTTGCTTTACGGAAGACCGTTGCATTTAAAAACTCGACGACCCCTGATATGATTTAATTACACGAAATGATAGTTCGAAAGCTTCAATATTCCTCAGAGCTAAGGTTTTTTAAAGCAGCCGCAATTATTGTATATCACATTATGTATACATATTTATATACGCATAATATTTATATTTTTTGCGCTGCTCTACATTCGTTTCTCGTTCATAACTCATCCCATCCATCATAAAACAATAGGGAATCATTAAGGCCTAAATAAAATCCAAGTTCAATTGATCAAAGATGCTGTGTGTATATCATTAAGTCTTTGCTGTGTGTATATCATTAAGTCCAAAACATCGTATAAGTGAACCGGTCCCACTTCTTAGAGTTTTTTTTTCCAATGTTTTCAAACTAAATTGTAACTTTCCATGATACTGGAATACTGGAGCTAAACACTGGGAAAATAAAAGTTAGGTTTATATCTATGAAAGGATCCTGTAGAATTCCCCCCGAAAATCATCGCTTAGGAACTGATTATTTTTATTGATACCCACTTTTGGAAACTGTGTGAACGTTTTCCTGAGGGAAAGTTGAATCTATAAAGCATTCAAAATGAAAGATAGCTTCATATATGCATAAAATAATAGAGCAAAAAGAATGGATAAGCAGATACTATTTTGCTGATTAGTTTGATTCGAGAAACCATCATTTTCTAATTTCCTGGACTTTCAGTGGTTTTTAATTAGGGATTTTGTTTTTTGTTTTTTTTTTTTGAAAAACAGCTAGGAATTGCTGCAATTTTATATACATTAGATATTTTTCAATTGAAATCAGGCAAATACACATTGCCTAATAATTTTTGTTTAGGCAAATTGCATTGACTCGACAGCAGCACCGGAAGCAGTGTTTGCTGATGAAGTGAATAAATTGAAGGAGGAGAAGTTTAAACCACGTGAGCAAGTGACGCTAGAACCATATGAAAGGGATCATGCCGTTGTAGTTGCCGAGTATCGTCCATTGAAGAAAAAGCAAAGCTAATGTGAAATTTATTATAAAATTTATATGTTGTTTCATTGCATCTCACTTTTCTCTTTTTCATATATCACCTATCCACTGAATATGATTACAAACGAAAGTTATTGAAATGAATTAAAAAATCTTAATAAAACATTTACTTTTTCTCTCATTTATTGTAGGATAGAGTGAAATAACAATGATCATTTTCAGTGATCCATTGTTTGATGTATAGACAAATTTCAGTATCTCAATGTAAGCTCACAACATTTATCTCATTTTTACATGCGGATTTATGAATGCTTGCTTCACTTACTGGTAATTTGATAAAATTTTTTTCTTTAAATCCATCCTTTCTACTCGAGCACTATAGAAAAAAAATATCTTCACTGATGATGTACTAAATTCTGCAGGTAAATACAGAACATATAAAAATACCACTTAGTCAAGTTATTTGGATCAATAATTCATGGTAAGGTTTTGTTTCATATTGCAACCTATAATGTTAGTGGTAGAAAAAGTAATCAGTTACCGGCAGAGTATGAGTCAAAACGTGAAGACTGAGGCCGTTTGCTACCCATTTTCTATTTTCTATTTCAGAAAGTGACATTTCATGATGATTAGATGACTGACTGTTAGGAACATCCAACATCGAGAATCTTTTTGTATGTTTTTTCTCAGATTCTAAACGAATTTATTTCTTTCGTCAAAACTTCTGAAGTATAAATATTTAGGATTTTGATATCATAACTGCCAGTCATTTGTTTTTTGTTTTTCTAAATAAATTTCTGAAAAAAAAGAATAGGAAAGGCAAATATTTAGCATATTGAAATTAAAAAATATATATTCAGTGAACTCCTTAAGTTTAGACGCTTTCCGCATGTTGTTTAAATGAACTCCCTAACTGGAAAATCATGATGATTGTACTAATGGAGGTATGTTTACAATATATCCCGTATCATACTTTTTATTTTGTTTTCTTTTTTTTTCAAGAGAAAAAAAAATTTGTTTTCAACACTGAACATCTTCCATTCAAAGTATAATAAATATAATTTGATCATTATCAATTTAGAATAGGGTAAGTTGAAGGGAATTCGAATTTGCCAAAGATTTAAATCGGTCAGAATTTAATTTGCAAATTATTTCCGTTTTTTGAATGGATGAAAGAAGGAAAAAAATGAAAATTGGGGAATTCAAAACGAAGTGCAAGCAATGTGTAAAAATTAGGTTAACGAATTCTAATTTTTGTTCTACAGAAAATTGTCGAAAAGTTGCGTTTTGAAAATGAAAGTTAAGAGAGAAAATACTTGTGGATTTTGGAATAAATTTATAAATGCCGTTTCTTTTGCGACAACAAAAAAAAACACTTTGTAATAATCGAAGAAATTAGTAAAATTTCATTTCGGTTTTACAATGGATGTAATATGATAATATTCTTTTTTTAATGATTTGGAGGAATATTCTGAATAGTTTTTTCCAACTTAATATTTGTAACATATATCAAATACTAAGTTTTTGGCATGAATTACTATATCAAATACCAAGGATTTGTTGGAGAATTTAGAAATTATAGAAATATTCCCTTTAAGACTAATTGATAGAATCTCATTATTACTACTATAAAGATTTTTAATATTAAAGTCGATATACTTTATAGTAATGATAATGAGATGAAACAGTTAATAGAGTTAAAGAAGCATTTTTAAAGTTTAATATATATAAAACAACTACAGACGGCTGAGGAAATAGCATTTCCAAAGTGATCTGTAATAGGCTTTTATTTGATGAGTTAATACATTATCGATAATAGTAAAGCAAGATGAAAAGCTAAAAAGTATTTTTATTGTAGAAATGAAAAGGAATATGAGTTATGCGTACTTTCATCAAAAAAATTTTTTAAAGATTTCAGCTAAAATAAATGCATCTCAGATGCTTTTTTTTTAAAATAATAACTTTTTACAGTCATTTCGTTTATTTGAACGAATTCATTCCCTTTAGTATATTTAAGTCAATTTTAAATGGATTTAAATATTGAAAGATCATTCAAAAAATTTTTATAGCTTTACTTTCGCTTTTTTTTCACCTAATCTTTTTTTCAAATTTGATATGCATTTAACCAGCTTATGCATTCAAGATTCAAATTAATCTAGTCTTTCGTGTATTAAAATTTTAAATTTAAATTCATTCATCTATCATCTGCAGAAGTGTAGAGAAGGACAAAAAAAGAAAAAGGAAAATTAAGCAAATTTATGACATTGCAAAACAAAAAAAAATTGGTAATTGTTATGTCATAGACAGAAGGAGACCTTTTGAAGTTGTAAACTAAACAACCGATAAAAATGCCGTAAACACACTGATTTGCCGATGAAGAAGAGTTGAGGGAGGAAGACGGGACGGAAAACATGGGATTGATTATGTTTTGAAATTACTGTGTTCTATTTCATCGTAGAATTGAAATCGTTTTGGTTAGACACATAAAAAAGTGCTTGTCATCATTTCACAACTGAAACGTCTAAGTGTAATTCAACTGTTCCTAATGAGAACTATTCATCAGAATTTCTCCACTTCATTTGATATTAAATTCTCGCCAACTTACTTCTTTCTTACAAATTTGGATCTTTTCGCGAAATTAATTTTTGCTAGCTTATTCTTATCCTATTTTTGGAATGACAAAAGACTGAAAAAATATTACAAATGAGAAAAATTTGCAAAATAATTTAATTTAATCAGATGAGTTTGATGTTAACATTTGATTTAGAGCAACCTTTCGTGAAATTAATTATTGAATTACCATTCGCAAAGATAATTTAAATTTCTTCCAACGTGGTTTCGAAAATAATATTTGGAAAAATGAGACAAACTTTTGTTTTCAAAACAAAATTCTTGTTTAATTTGTTCCTTTATGGAGCCTCGTTAATTTTTCTCATTTTTTTGTGGGGAAGGAAAAGCACGCGACATTATTTTTCAAATTGATAGATTGGAATTTTAATTAGGCATTAAACTGTAACTCTTGAAAAATTCTTTTTTTAGCTTTCACATATATTCATTTTGAGTATCCCTCTTACACCTTATTTAATGTTAATATGGTAATTTTGTTGATGAAATTTGTTGCAGATTCAAAGGCTTTTGATCCTTTCCATTAATTTTATTATTTCAGTTTAATCATTTTTACTTTCGAAAAAATAATTTAAACTCAATCTTTACGTCATTCAACATAAAATTAGAAATTAATTTAGAAAATATAAAAATACTGCAAATGAAGAAATAAAGTCATAGCGACAGCTGGAAAAGTTGTGGGTTTCTTTCAGCGGTAATGTCCTTCAATATCCTTTCCTTTTTTTTTCATTTTTTTTTATTAATCAATAATGTTAAGCAGGTATTCCGTTCGTATAGAAGACCTCCATTTTGGACTTATCTATTTATTTTCATTCTTTTTGATTATATAACAAACAGTGTGTAAAATTTTATACTTCACAGCGATAAATTTCATCATGCAATGCGTTTTATTTGAATATTACATTTGAAGCCTTTCATTATCAATATAATTGCAATCTTCCATTTTAATTGCAGTTATCCTATCATTAGCATATTTACTGGAATTGGACCGATTATTCCAATTTCAAACTGATCTTGTCTTAAAGACAAGATCAGAATACCTAAGAATAAATTATATTCTTCAAAAAGAGATAGAATGCAGCTACCTTCCTCATTTCCCTCTCGTCTTATTTTAATCCATCAATTTTATTCATCTTATTCTTCAATGGCCATTATAAGAAAACGCCATCTTAGGTCAGCGAATCGTCAGAGAACTAATAAATCAGTTTAATTTGAAATGATAGTTTGATAATGACAA